CCTACATGTTTGACAGATTCTGTAAGGGGCACGAGTTGCAAAAAGTGTCATCAACATTTTCTTTAGAATTCTCCCACTTTTACCAATTAATACAGATTTGACACCAAAAACATTCATGGTAATCCAAATGCCTTGGGGGGCCCACAAAATCTCTAGAATATTTTCATGCTACCACATCTTATCATCTCCTCAGCTCTCTCACATTTGAACTTACTTTTGCAAGTTGTCTCTGGCTGCTTATGTTATATGATGTCCGCGTGTCACTTACTAGTTTGATCCTTGATATGTCGTTAGTCAAAGTATTGAGCTAAGTAATTAGACAATTCACGCATTTGTTGTGCTTAATTATATCATGTGGAAAAAGATAGAGAACAAAAGAAATCCCTCCAACTGCATTAATTAATCTGCTGCACTTAAAGATGTTTATAAGTTCATGTAATTCTTGGTTTGGTATGTATATTTTCTTACAATAATGTACAGTTTGTGCGGCATGGACTGACTTTATAATTAACCAAACCAACAAACCAACAGAGTTCATATTTATGGGCTTTTCGAAGCCTTGGACCGATCAAGGTGTGTAGGTGAAGCTGTGAAAGATCAATCAAGTTGTGTCATGAAGCAGGTACATACAACGTTGTGGGCATTGTATTGAACATATATTGAATGGAATAAAGCAATGCATGTTGATAAGCTGATTATGTTACAGGATAAAAAGCAATATATATATATATATATATATATATATATATATATATATTGGCTTGTCAGATTGGTTTTTATCTTATATCATCCTTTCTGCTGCAAAAGCAATGGAATAAGGCGATAAGGCATATTATCAACCAGCTGATGGCAGGTAATCTTTCTCTCCTACTTATTCCTTTAGTGTCTAGTCCAAGCTGGTGAAGAATTTTATGTCAAACGGAAGCTAAAGTAAGAAGTTAATATAAGAACCAGCTATTAAATATATCGATTTGCAATTAAATTTAAAAGCTATAACTATAGGTACCTAGGGTGATTAGGCGAAGTCGTAAAAATATCAAGAGATACATTATATAAAATATACTTAATTAATATAGTTGAAACAAAGGTTATCAAAACTGTAATATACTCAATCCTACTGTAATATTGTAGACTTTATATATAAAAATTAAAACCTATTTTTATATATTCAAAAAATAAATACAAAATGTGAATAAAATTCACAATACTTAGATTGTGGCCTAATTAGTTTAGGCATGACTAATTTGGCAACATCATTTGTTATTTAACTTGATAATTCATAGAGTGTATCGGTTGTTAAACGACATCATTTGTTATTTAGTTATTATGAAGAGTAAATAAATATGCTATAAACTAGTTATGTTACTTATCAAAGGACATTCTACATCATTAAGTGTATCGGTTGTTAAGAAATTATTTGTGCGAGGATTAGGAAACGGAAACGGAAACCTCTGTGTCTTTATTTATTTTTTTTATTTTTTTCTTTTTCAGAAACAAAGGGAAACCTAGTCTTGCTATAGGGAATATACGAATAACAATTCTTTGTGGATAGTCAAAACTCAGATGATATAAATTCACTGCTGTGGACATACTTTCATTTGCAAACGTATATTCTATTCCCATTTTTTTTTTTTGCGCTCCAGCACTTGAAAGAACGATCCACCAAAAGGAGAAGAATCCTATTCCTTTTCAAACCTCAAAAATGGTCAAAAAGAAGGTTTGCACGGGCGTATGGTAAGCTACATGCACCTGTAGCCTGTAGGGAAGATATATATGCTAGAAGAAAGATACAGAAACAGAACACAAATAAATAAATTAACAATAATAATCAAACCTGTTAAAATAAATATTTTTCATGGACAATTTATTTTGGGATTAGGAAGCTTCACAACTTGTTAGCTGGGTCATTCATTCTAGGATTACAAAGTTTTACATCTGAGAATCTATCTATATATAATAAGAATTACTATTTACCAAAAATAGTAGTAAAAGAATAGGCCAAAATTGAATGTAGCCTATAAATAGTAAGTTTTATTATTTTTTTTATTTTTTTTTAAAAATCATATAGCATTAAATGTTACTTTAAATTTTGGGCTTTAGTTCATGTCATTATTTAAAAAATAAGGCTAAGATTTATTAAGTGCATATGTTTTTATTTTTATTTTTTTTTTAGAAACAATGAGCAACATTAAAATCTCGGTCTCTATATTTATAAAATCTCAATTCAAAATATAACAAAAGTTTTAGAATGTCGGTCTTTATATTTGTGCCTTTAAAAAAATATTGAACACTAAAAAATATTCTTTAAATTGCATAATCAATCAATTAATTCTATTTTTTTTTAAAATTACTATGTTTATTTTTTACTAATATGCATAAAGTAAAAATAATTAATTCATCTTTAGATATATAATTTATAATCTTAAAATACTATCATTTAGTGTAGACATTTATTATATGAATCATAAAATATTTTTATTTCATAAAATCAAATATATTTAAAGAAAATAAGAAAATTTCTTCGGATCAATCGAGTGATTGAATTAGAGTACTGTCCAAGTTGATTGTATTACTTTTAGATGATATTTAAAATAATTAAAAAATTTGACACAACGTGGTTGGTCCCAAGTGACTACGTTATGTAACAGTTCGACCACACCAAATCGATTATTGAACATAAATATAAATTTTATATTGAAAATATTTTATTACGTGAATGTGATGTAGTCAAACTTCAAATAATCGACTGGTGTTGACGGATTCGAGAGCAAATATTTTAATAAAGCGAACTAGACTGGTTATAAACCAGTGCTTGATCCATCCGGTCAGACTGTGTCCAACCCGGTATTCAAAAACAATGAATAAATCATGATTAATGTTATATATATATATTTCATTTATACTACAATCATAATATTTTTTTTCCGTGCATCGCACGGGCCACGCACTAGTAGTATAGTATCGGAATTAGGTGATTGTATATAAATTTTTTTTTCTTCTTTTTTTTTTGCAGTAATTAAATGCAAAAGTGAAAAAAAAATATGATTAGTAAAAAATTGAAATATTTTTAAATTGTACAAGTTAAAAACTTTATAATTAAAACTAATTTTGTATAAAAATAATAAAATGTTAATTGATATTTATTGATAGGTAGAAGTGTGAAGTATAATTTTTTAAATATAAAAATTTTATTTTTGAATTATGATGATTGTGGAGAAGAAATGAGATAAAATAAACGTTGTACTTTTTTTAAAAAAATTAACATTCACAATCTCTTTAAATAAGATTTGTCAGAAAAAAAATCATAATTCAATCGCCAGTGGTGGACCTAGGTAGGAGCTCGTAGGGCCTGTGCAATTTTTTTTTTAAAAAAATAGTGCATATATAATTATATTGTAAAATAATTACAGATAGATCTTAAAATTTTTAAGTTGTTTGCATTTTGTATTAGTATTATGTTGTAGCCAACATATATATATGTTTGATCACTGGAAAAGAAAAAAAAATGTTGGTATTTGAAAATAATATACTTAATGAGATTTAAATTTATATAATTACGAGTGATCTAATATATAAGAACACGAAGATAATAATTATCTTTTTTTTTTCATTTTGTAAATGTTACGTTTGTGCCCCTCAGTCTTGCGAGTCTGCGTTTGCCCCTGTCAATCGCCACATTGTCCCAACTAGGCTTAGAAGACAAGTTTCTACTTTCTAGGTTAATACATTTGTAAACTAAGAGCATCTCCAATGCTCAAATGTTGTAGTAAATTACATTCCACATCAATATATTTAGTGAAGTTATCATTTTTCATGTTCCAATGCATAACGTGATCATTTGAGATGATATAGATATAATTAATGTCTACAATGTAGAGAAGAGAAAGAATTATTCCTACTAATCCTAAGCTATTTAATTATTTAATAAATATTATTTCTTTTCCTTTTTTTAAACTTTTAATATTTGGTCAATATATAATATTGTAGTTAGATTATATTGTGTATTGCAGAGAATTTTTTAATTTTATAGTTCTAAACTTAATATTTTTTTTACATAGTTCACAATCCATTTAACTTATTGACATTTGTTGACATTTATTCTATAACAATATTAGAGCATTGGAATTGCTCTAAGCACGTAACAATCGCCATTCATTGTTTTTTATCATGTTAAACTAAGCACATAACGATCCTGTTTCTATAAATAACGTGTTAATTGTTGTAAGTTTGAGTACTTAATGATGAATAACTAACTTGAATAAACTAATATGTGAAAAAACTAATATTAGAATCATCTATTCCAGAAAGTTCTTAAAGTTGATTTTTTTATTATTCCAAAATGTTACTTTATCAAATAATAATTAAATTAGAAAAGACGATCATACTTCTAATTCACCCTGAAATATACTGACCCCAAAATTCTGATTACTAAACAAGTTAATGCATATAATGGTGATTGAGGAGCCTTCCAATATCTTCTCATCTTACTATATATAGAAAGTGTCTGAAAAGATAAGCGCCTCTAAGGATTAGGTAGGATTAAGTATTCCTAATCAAAGGAAGATGTAGTCAATCAAATGCAATGGGCCAGGAGGACTGTCATAGTTCCAACTTGTCAAATTTGACCATGCTGCTTTTCCAGTATTATTATCCAACTGAATATTCAAGCAACGAGTATAGTCAAATTAGAAAGTTGTCACCTTTTCTAATCCGAGAAGATGCTCCAACGAAAATGGTGAGGGAAAGAGAAAGAAAAGAGCTCTCTTAAAAAAAAAATTACGAATATGATTAAGAATGTGTTTAGTAGATTTAGCTGAAAATATTTATAACAACTGATAAATTAACTAGTAGTTGATAAATGAGTTTCGAGCTTGATGATTGAAAATCGAGTTGATACATAAAAAGAATTAGTTGATGAGTTATTTAAAAGCTTTTAACAAACACTGCATAAATAAGCATCTTATAGATTTGAGCTTTTTTACAAAATTGCATTGTAGAAAATATGACTTATTTGTATACACAATTTAATTACCCTTCTAATAGTACACCTACATTTGTCAAGATTATCAATCATTTGATTTCTTAATGATCAGCTTGATTTGATATCATCCATTTTTGCTCCTTATACCTTCGTCTTCAAACCAACCAATACCCTCCATTTCTCTGCATCTCCTCGACCCATATATATTGAAGAAATCGTGCGTGGAAAATAATTGAGGAGAAAACTCCTTTTGTCTATTTCACTGAAGTAAAAAATCCCGACCAAAATTACAAAGCACAAAGCCGCTATTTATACTGACTAGGATAAAGAAAAGCGCTATTTAGTAAACTAACAGAAAACGTTAAATCCTAACAGAAAAATAACAACTATCTCTACATATATATATATATAGATGCATATGAACGAAAAAAATGAAGGGTCTAAGATCAAATATTTCGAGCCGACTTCTGTGGAAAATTCAGACTTCCTTTTTGATGCTGCAATCACATAAAAACATAAACTGTGAGGCTCAATAGCTAAATACATGGCAATTGAATCATAAGCGGAGATCATAAAGAGCATAATGCGAGTAGGAAGTGGAATTAATACAATGAATTCAAAAGCATCAAACCTCTCTTGTTGGGAAGAATCAAAACACATCGAAATGGTACCAGCCGTACTTAATAATAGAAGGATTTAACATAACTTGGCGTTTAAGCTCCTTTCTCTTCAAGGATTCTCAAGGTGTGATTGTGTTATTGTTCTTTCTTTAGATATCTTTTCGTTTCATGAGTTATTAAATGATTTTATTTAGGATTTTTTTAGTGTATGATGTTGATTGTTTGATTTTCGTTATGTTTATATAACTTGTTATTACACAAAAAACGAAAAGAAAGGAAAACGATTTCTTTTATTTGATCACGGAGATCCGACTATACTTGTGTCCACAGTTAAAACTATTTGCTATGTATCCTTTTTCCTAGTTCATTTCTACATTTTGGTCAAACTCATTTATATTTCTTCATTTCCAAGGCTGCCACACTGCCACACTGCCCCACACACACACACACACACACACACACACAAAAAACCACGTTGATTCACAATTCCCCTTGTTGACGGAGATTCTAGCAAGGACGTGGGCCCAGATGAGCCTGTCAACCGAGAGAACTCCTTGCCTAGCTTCATTAAGGCCCGTTCTGCGAACACGGTCAAGTCCAATATCAACCATTTATAAATTATATAAAGCTAGTACGTTTAATTTTTTTTTTTTCTTAAATGCAAATAAAACAACTATAAATGACTGGTGTAACTTTCTAAAAATTGCTGACTTCGGTTACTTGGATATACATATAATGTGATGTGTCCAGCCCATTAAATATCACGTGTTCTGGCCCAACCCCAAGCCTAATAAATGCTTTCGATAATCGAAAGGAGCCCATTATCCTTCATCTGGCCCTTTTACATTTTCTTATGGGAAATTTTCACTCATCCCGTTAGAATTGTAAAATATTGCATTTTTACTAGTGGGACAAATTT